TGTAGTTGTTATTTACTTCCTTTGTTCCTCCACAAAGCAGAGGAAGAGTTTAATTTGTCAATATCATGAATTCTTTTTACTTCTTCTGTCCCTTTCCAGAGCAGAGAAAGTGTTTAATTTGCCAGTATAATGAAGTAACTGTCTTCTTAAGCCACCTCATGATCTGGGAGGTTGACAGCAGAAAGAGCTGGACCAAACATGGTCACCTGAGATGTGTATGCAATTTGGATGCAAGAATCACACCAAATTGCATACCAGGCCTTTATCCAATTTTAAACAATATTTAACTCACACCAGCTTGCTCTACATGAGCCTGTGTAGGCAAGCTCTAATATTTTATTTAGGTATTAAGGTTAAGTTTCTAATTACAACACAGAGGCTATCCTCAGCATTTTCACAACAATAGCTTTAATAATATTTCATGTGTGGCATACATTCATTTAATTTGGACAATTTAACCATAGAGCAGTATTACAAAGTGCTGTCTCATCTTATGTGACATTCATGACTATCAGGACAAGGATTTAATTTAAAGGAAATGGTTATATATATGATATATAAGTTAGAAGGGAATTTGCGAAACTGAAATAGCCACAGTGGACAGTGCAAATATATCTCCAGGATAATTGACACTGAAAACTAAAATGGTCATAAAAGTGCACTCAGATACTTATCATCCTGTAACACTGACTTTGTGAGCTACATTAGTAGGCTCCTCTATTAAAAAATGATATATGGATAAACCATCTAGGGCTCTAAAAGTACGTATAATGAAAAATCATAGCAACATATGAACAAGAAATCTGCTGCTCCCCTAGTCAACCATTTCCTAGAGCACAATCACCCTTCTAAACATTTACATTTCCGGACACTAGACAAACTTTTCCTCATTGGAATCAGACCCTGTAGAGAAGGGAAATAGGCTGGATATTGGGGCTTGGGACTTCAGCTCCCAGGGCCTCAGCAAAGAACTACAACTACTTTCCCTGTTTTAGAATCCACATTTTTTTCGGCTGCCAAGATAGCCTTAAAATTACCTGCTGTCCATAGGAAAAACCCTGAAAGAGTATAATGCCTTACCCTCCCCTTCAGTAAGCTAGCAGTTGCCATTTGTGAAATGGGGAGGTGCAGTTTCAAAATTCTAACAAGAATATGCCAACAAATATGGAAAACAAAATAACAGACTACAAACTAGAAATATTCAATACACATTCCAGCTCCGAAGAAAAGAATGCCAAAGAATGCAGCAACTATAGGACAACTGCATTAATTTCTCATGCAAACAAAGTGATGCTCAGGATTTTCCAACAAACACTTTCACCACAGATAGAGTGAGCAATGCCATATGTTCTAGATGGATTCAGAAAAGGGAGAGGTACTAGGGATCATATTGCAAATATACATTGGCTGTTGGAGTATTCCAAATAAGTTCAGAAGAAACGCAGATGACAGTAAAGCCTTTGACTGTGTGCACCATGAAAATTTATTTTATTTTGTTCTAAAAGAAATGGGCATGCCGTTTGATTGTCTTGATGTACAACCAATATGCTGGACTAAAGGCTACTGTTATGCCAAAATATGGGGAAACAGAATGGTTTGTAATAGGAAAAGGTATCAGACAAGGGTGCAGAACATTAAAAAAACTGCATCTGATTCAGATAAATGAGGAAAATGATGGAAGAAACGTAAAAAGTGTAAGATATGCAAATGACACCACATTACTGGAAGAAAGCTCAATGACTTGAAGCAATTACTGAGGAAGGTGAGAAAAGCAGCTGCAAAGCAGGATTACAACTCAAAAATTAATAAGGCAAAAATAATGGCTGAGATCTTGTTGAATCTGCAGTGTGCAAGATGGAGGATGTCATCATCCAGTGACAGACATCTTTCATTTATTAAATTAAAAACTTCTAATCTCTCCTGCAGTTTCCAAGGCTCACTAGGAATCTCTATTGTCTTTGGGTGCCTTGGGATGGAGGGGAACCTTTCATATGGGAAAACTGCCACCAGCAGTCCTGCTGCTGGATCAGGGCTGCCAGTAGCAATCCAGCAGCGATTTTCTTCCCCCCCTTTTTTTTTTATTATATAAATCCATACATGCTGATTTAACATCGTGCCACCAGAGTACAGCTTATAATCATTGTAAAACAACTACTACACACATTACGCTCCTAATGTATACAACATCCTTCTAACCATTGATAGTATAAGTCCCATGTTTGATAATATTTTGTATCTTCTTTTCCTTTGATTTTCAGTGTTAGTCTGTCCATTTCAGTGCAGTCCAATATCTTTTTAATTATTTCTTGATCCGTAGGTCATTTTTCCAGTACTGTGCATAAATAATCCTCGCAGTTGTTAGAATATGCAGTATTAAATATACATTTTGTCTATCAACACTTTCTGGTATTATACCTAACAGAAAGAGTCAGAAAAAGGATACTGAACAAGATTTGAACAAAACACAAAGAGAAAAAAGGAATACTAGGGCAGTAAAACCTAAATACAAGTAAACAAGATGGAGAATGAAATTGGGATCTTCTCAGTGAACATTAATGGTCTGAATGCACCAAGAAAAAGAAATCATGTTTTTTCAAAACTACAAAAAACCAAAGCAGATATAATTTGTCTTCAAGAAACACACATCAAACAGCAGCATTACAAATATCTGATCTACCCGAAGATTGGGAAGCTCTACTACTCAGCTGCACAACAAAAGAAAAGAGGGGTAGCTTTGTATGTGAAGGAAAAGTTAAACTCTAAACATATCTATTCTGATGAAGAA